GGATGATGATAATCCCTATGAAATAAGGAGCTAAAGAGCCAAGAGAACCCCCCAAACCACTGGTTACAAAACCCCATGTGACACCTAAAGGAACCCTTGCAGATCCCTTAAAGGAACCCTTATAGATCCCTTACAGGAACCCTTATAGATCCCTTAAAGGAAGCCTTTAGATGTTTTAGAAGCCGAGACCGGCATGGAAGGTGGCGGTGAGGTGAAGACTAAGGGTTCAGGGTTTTAGGGCTCGAGCTCTGTATGGCGTAAAGCCCTAAACCCTAAACCCACCCCCCCCAAAAAAAAAAAAGAACTAACCTTCGGGGCAGACGGAAAAGAGGGTTCAAAAAAACACCCAAAACCCCTAAACCCCTAAACCCTAAACCCTAAAACCTAAAGTTCTGGTATTAAATTTCCTTCGCCAGCGAAGCAGTCGAAGATCCTCGGCTCCACAAGAGATTGAGCGGGCACTCCCAGGAGTCCTACACCGAAGCCTCAAGAATCTGCACTCCCCAGTACGTCAAAGAGCACTGCCGGAACCTGAAGATTGTGAAGGATCACGTTACCCATAGGCTCCATAGTAGTTCCTTTTTGGGATTACCTTATAGGATTCTATATCTGGACCCCAAAAAGGAGCTACTTTGGAGCCTCTAGGTATAGTGTACAGAGGTTTGACCAAAGCTCGGTCCCCTGACGATGTGAGAGCAAGAAGCGTTGAAACTGCAAACACCCGGACGTGTCAAACCCCTCAAAACCCTGAAGCATCTCAAAGTGTAAGTCTAGAGAGCAAACCCTAAACCCTCTGCGTGGCTCATGCAAGATGTTCATGTTTGCAGTCGGAGGAGAAAAGTCAAGGAATATCATCCCAGCAAGCCTGGCACCCTCAAGTTTGGGGGTTTAAGGGCTTAGGGGTTTAGGGTTTAGGGCCGCTTCAGGGTTAAGTTTAAGGGCTTGAGGAAGCACTATGAGGCTTTACGCCCGACATCTTCAAAGGACCCCATCGGTAATTTCAACTCAGACCTCTGCGAACCATGGGCACATAAACTTTAAGCTTTGAAACCCTGCAGCCAACTACAGGACACTCACATGCACAACCGAAAGTCCTAAACCCCAAAGCTTGAACTAACATGCCCAGTTCCCTTATTGTAGTCCTAGGTGCCTTATAAAGTTACCCAATACTAAAAAGGGAGCCCTTTTTATTCCTAGGTTACTGGGCATCCTAGTGAAAGTCCCAAACCCTGCGACCCTAAAGTTTTCGAACCTCCAAACTTGGAAGCCCGTAAAGCCCCCAAACCCTGCAGCACTGCACCTTACAGCCTACCTATAGTCTCCATTGTAGTTCCTTTTTTTGGGTAACCACAATCTCTATTATAGTGTCCTAACCATAAAATTGGATAACCAAAAGAAAGGAACTGCAATGGAGACTATAGGTAGGTTCCATGTGTAGTGGCCTTTTTGCCCCTCTTGTTTCAGGGTCCCCGTTCTTGACACCGGCTAGTATGAAGAAGGGTGCCCTTCCTTATAAAGGGGCTACTCAGGAACTTAGAAGCCCTAAACCCGAAACCCTAAACCCAGAACCCTGAACCCCAAACCCTAAACCCTGAGCCCTAAGCCCTTGGCCCTGAACCCTAAACCCCAAGCCCCAAGCCCCGTATAGCCGATGTGGGGGGGATGCAGGCCATTGCTTTCGCACTGAGCAATCCGGAGGAGTCGCTGGAACTGCTCCATTGGATGTAGGGTCCAGGGTTTAGCTCGGACTTAGAACGCGGACTTCGTTTAAGGTTTGTTTAAGAAAGTTTTGGGGTTTTTATGGCTGCAGGGGGTAAGGCTTTAAGGATTTAGAGTTCAAAGTGTGGGGTGTGTTTAGGAAGTGCAAGTCATGTGTGAAGCAATTATAAGTGTCAGTGGAGATTGAGAGTGTTGGGGCTTAGGACCTTCAGGGAGGCCAAGTGGGGTCTCAGGGTTTAGGGTATTGGAGGGGGATCCGTGTCGAAGAGGATGTTAAAGTTTTTGTTTGGGAACCGTTTCAGCTGAGGTTCTTGAAGACGTGGCTCAGGGTTTCGGGCGGGTTTCGTTGCTTTGGGTTTGTCCGATTCGGTGGGTCGGAGTTCGCAGTGCGCCATCCGGCAATCCGGTACCCCTACTTGGAAGGTCGGGGGACTTAGTAAGTAGGTAGTAAGTAGACTTATAAGTACCCTAAGAGGGACCCTAATTGGGGCTATGGTACTTATAAGTCCCTAAAATAACCAGTTACTAAGTCCCATGAGCCTTCAAGTACGGTAAGCTAAGAGCCATGCGGGAGTTTCAGAGCTCCGAAGCCGCAGCCCTACGCCCCAACCTAAGTCTCTAGCTAGACCCCCCACCTACCCTGCACTTTTCCCTGTTACTATAAGGACCACAATGGCTCTGCTAATCAATGCCTGGGGGGTCCTGGTAAGCCCAAACCTAATTGTAACTTTCTGAAAAGAGGGGACGCTAATGTAGCACCCTAAGTAGGAGGATCCGTATT